TAGGTGAAGAGGTAGAGGAAAATGAGAGAGGGTGATTAAAAAAAAGGGAAAGGGGGGGGAGTACAAAGACATTTTAACTTTTCCTTGGTCAACCAGATATTCAACAAATGTGCTAAAAAATGGGGAAAAGAAGTACTCTGTCCAAGTTCTAAAGGAGCTCCCAGAAAAAGCAACATGAAAGAATAATGCAATCATGAGTGAGGAGAGGAAAAGAGGTGGGCAGGGCCAGCCATGGAGAGCAGGGTGTGTAAGACTAGATAAGAATTAGAACGCTGTCCATGGGGGGCCGGGCCCAGATTGACAGATGACCCTTAACTCAGACCCCACTCATTCAGAATTCATGAGAGTTTGGCTATGTCCATCTGAGATTGACCTTTGCATTCTGGAAGAAAAAAGAATTTGCCAAGAAAATGAATAGTGTGAATCTAGTAGTTGGGAGGCTTGCTTTCAGGCTACGTAAGACGACCAATCATTTTCAAGTATTTTAAAAACCACTTTAGCAGTACCTCTTTGTATTTTCAAATGATGAATGGGCAAATTGGTTCTTATTTATTCACTAAAGCAGGATCCCAGGTTTAGAAAACTTTGTTAATCACTTGTCTCTGGGTCAGAAATAGAACTAACTGTATTTTCTCCAAAGCCTAGGAAAAAGAGTACTGGCCTGAGAATTAGGAGACATGGGTTCTAGGCTCAGCTTTGCCACTACCTAGAAATAGGACCGTGGGTCTCAGTTTATCTATAAAATGGGGGTTGAATTAGGACTTCTCTAAAGGCCCTGCCAGCTATAAAACACTGGAAGTTTATAATTCAGTTATCACAGACTCAGATTTTCTTCTCCAATAGTTTGATTTAGTGAGATTTGGCTATGTTAGAGTATCAGCAGAAGTATCCCTTGGGGAACATGGCTGAAAATCCATTTTAGGAGCAGTTTAAACCGGCAGGTCTCAGCAACTGATACAGCCATTGCTGGTTGGAACCATCCCAGGGTCACTGCTGGGAATGGACTAAATGACCAGATCCCCATAGCAAATTGTTCAGAGCTGGAAGAAGCCTAAGATATCATTTAGTCCATCCCCCTCCCATTCCCTTCTCCACCCTCACTCTCATTGCCATGTTCTAGCTACCGAAACTGAGGCTTACAGACTGGAAGATGGCACAGTTTAGTAAGTGCCAGAGTGAGGATTCTAACACGCATCGTCTGATGCCCACATCTAGCAATCTTTCTCATAGTACTAGTTACCTTGCCTTGGTTTCTCCCCTCACTGAGGGGGCTTGCTTCAGTTTCTCACCTCAGATGCTGGCTGGCTCCTATTTTCTTTCTACTTTTTTTTTCTGTTGTTACCAATGTAACTAAAACCAAAACAAATCCTATTCCACTGCCCCACTCCCCCCAAAGGGGAAAATCTTCCAAAACAAATGTAGGCAAAACTCAGTCACGAACAGCCCCCACCCCCCTTCCCCCTTGCTGAGAACTTCAAGGCAAGCTTCATTTTACAGCCTAGTGGCTGGGCAGTGTCCCTGAAGCCCAGACCTTCAGCTCCCGCCAAGAATGGATCAACACAAGTCTCTTTTCATTACCAGAGATGATCCCATCACTCATCATGACCCAAATTTGGGAGGACCAGGACAGTCCTACCTGATTTCACATCACTTGGAATAAACAGGCTGGCTGGGAAGATGCAGTGTCAGGGACCATATACTTGAGCAGCTGACAGGGGCTCTTTCATCCCCTCAGCTGGGTCTCATCACAGGAAAGCCACCTGTCATTTCTTCCTGCAGACTATGGGCAGAGACATAAAAAGGAAATTCAGGGGACACACAGCCAGGGCTCATCATTTGGAGTTCGGAGGAAAAATGTCAATGTCTCAGTGAGATAAACCTTGAACCTGTTTCCTCTCTGCTTGTGTGATCCACCTTCTGCTCTGTAAACAGACTCATGGATGGCTCCCTACTGCCTCCTATATCAAATCCAAACATGTAGGCTTAGCATCAAAAGCCCTCTCCAATTTGGACTCAATGTAATGTCTTTCAGCTACCCAATATGCCTCTCTCAGAATCACAGAAGTCTAGAACCAGAGGGAGCTTTGGATGCTATCTACTTCAAATACCCTCTATAATAGATACAACAGGCAGTCACCCATCCCATGCTTAAAGAACTCCAGTGAAGATGGAACCCTCCACCTTCTGAGGCTGCCCATTTGACCTTTGAACAACTCTGTTAGTGAGTTTTTCTTTACAAATAATTTCAATTTGTCTCTGCAACTACCACCATAAATCCTATTGGTTCTGCCCTCTGGGGATGTGGAACAATCCCTTTTCCATGTGACATTCCTTCCAATAACTGAAGACAGCTTTCCTGTTCCCACAGGTGTTCTCCCGGGTAAATCTCCTCAAATCCTTCCCTTGAAGGGCAGTTAGGTGGCTCAGCTGATAAAGCACTGGACCTGGGATCAAGAAGATTCATCTTTGTGAGTTCAAATCTGGCCTTAGACATTTATTAGCTGAGATTTGAACCCATGTCTTCTGATTGCCAGTTCATTCTTTCTGCTATATTGTGCTGATTCTTATATGTGCAGAATGAAAAAATTCATTGTAGCAGAACTGCCAAGATGAATTCAGAGTCAGGCAGGACCAGGAGAGGCTGGAGGTGGTGAAACTTCTAGACTTTCTGACTCAGTTCACCCTGATGAGTTCCCTGGCATATGACTGCTATAGACACCAGGGATCATCCATACAGACCAGGACAAGGATGACATCAGTACCTGGTCCAGGCAAAGGGACACAGGAGAGTTCTGAGACCCTGCCTGTCCAGACTTCTAGAGAATCAATCATTCTAGGCTCTGAGAAGAACTGACCAATCAGAGGAAGGGGCAACAGGACCATAGTGATCTTCCAAGGCTAATTCCCCAAGGAGAGAAGAGAGGTTCAGCTCAAGACTCATTTCTTACATGGCATTAGTCCCCCCAAGTTCAGGTCCAAAACCCTAGAACCCTTGTTCCTCAAGGCATTCCCACAGCTTGAGATATGGACTACACCCATAAGGAGTGAGTGATGTGGTCAAGGAAAGAAGACAAATTCATGAAACAGTAAATTACTATATGACTGTATACAATAAAGAGCTAGACAGTGCAACAAGGCTAATTCAAGAACAAGATGGTATAAAATTCTGGTGTCACATTTTAGGAAGGACATCAGTAAATGGGAGAATATTCATAAGAGGACACAAGTAAAAGCCAGAGTTTGTGCCATGTGAGGATCAACGGAAGGTTGTTGTTCAGTTGTTTCAGTCATGTCTGACTCTTCATGACCCCATCTGAGGTTATAGTAGAGTGGTTTGCCATTTCTCCAGCTCATTTTACAGATGAGGAAACTGAGGCAAATAGGTTGAGTGACTTGCCCAGGGTCACACAGCTAGGCCAAACTTGAAGTAAGGTCTTCCTGACTCCAGGCCTGGAACTCTGCCACCTAGCTACATGATAGGACTTCAAAGACAGGCAGAAATAGGTAGGAATGGCATTCCATGCTTTAAGGAAAGACACAAAAATCTGGATGGGGGAAAGTACAAGGTGTCTATGAAGAAACAGTGAAGTCTAGTGTATTGGTGGCAATATAATGTATAGCTTATAACTATCCTAAATCTCTCCATACCTTTTGGGTCACGGATGATTTTCATTCTTCAAAGGTAATTATGTTCCAAGGTTGGCCATGCAGCATCACATTGTTAAAAAAAAAAGATAAGTATTTGTGCTGTGAAGTACCTTGGGATTGTCCAAGGCATTGCACAACTTTCCAAATGCAACCCAATGTACTTTATTCCTCCTTAATAATTCTGGGCCCAATGTCTAAAGACTATTCAGCTTTTTTTTTTTTTTGAGTAATCACAGAACTCATTAAGAAGGCCCTGTCATGTTTTGGGGCTTGATGAGAACAGCACAAAACCATTTGCAAACAGGAACATTTAGAGAACATCACCAGCTAGGGAATCCTTCTCTCCATATGGACCTTGTCCAGGATATCCTCCATGACAGTGGGGAACACCTTTGGTGGTCATACATCTTACTTTATGACTTGCTTAGTAATCAGAGGGCCACTGAACAGATCCCTGATGTGCTATATGAGGAAGTTTAAATAAACTCACGATAAAGTCAGGAAGAGCAGGTAGACCAGACCAAGTATATACTGAGGAAATAGCTACTAGAGGAAATCATTTATGTTCATGTTAAGGGCATTAGGAGTTTAAAATATTTATACCTCTACCTATATCAGAAAGGGCAAGATAAAAAAAATAAAAACCACAAATGATTTATTATCCAAAAAAGGTGATCAAGAAAATGCCAATAATGACTGAATCATATGCCCACTTTCTCATCTTTATAACATTTTTGAGAATGATTGATATATGTAATCATCATAATGATGATAAAAATTCAAATTTATGTAACATTTTAAAGTTTAGAAAATGCTTTTCTCACCATCATCCTGTGAGGGTGGTAATACAAGTACCACCTCTGTCTTATAATGAGGGCAGCTAAACTGGAAGAGATTTAGTAATTTTCCCACAGCCACGCAGCAAAGTGTCAGAGCTGGAGCTCAAATCTAGGTTTTCTTTCTCCAAGATCAGTGTGCTTTCTACTATATCATGCTGCCTAGAAATAAAGAGCTCTGCACAGGGTCAGATGGGAACTCAAGAGGCCACTTGGTTCATCTCAGTGTCAGAGCATGATAGAGTTCATCACCATAAATCTTGTTGTTGTTCTGCTGGAAGGGACCTCAAAAGCCATCCATCAATTTACAGATGAACAGATCATTCCAGTATAATAGTTTCTGATCCTTTTCTTCCCAAAGAACCACAACCTCCCTTGGTCACATATTCTGAGGATACACACACACACACACGCACACACACCCCTCCCAGAGAGTTTCAGGGCTGACCCCTATGTTTGGTCACTTGGATACCTGAAGGATGGGACTGAGGGACAGGATGGTTCAGTGTCTCTTACCTCCCTGAGGCAGGTGTAGATGGGACAGACAAGGACACGGAATGGTTCCCCAGTACTGCTGCGCATGGTGCCAAACACCTCGCAGAGGAAGGTGATGAATCCCAACCAGCGCTCAACGTCTTGGCGTTGTAGCTCCTCCCGCATGGTGAAATCTTTCTGCAGAGACAGGAGACAGGGTATCACCCACATTGGTGCAGAAAAAAGGGGGGAAAGAGGAAGGGAAGGATGAAAAATGAAAAAAAAAATGAGTGTGTGTGTATGTGAGAGAGAGAGAGAGACAGACAGACAGACAGACAGAGACAGAGACAGAGAAAGACAGAGAGAGAGAAGAAATGAAGCAGATTTCCTTATAGCCATTGAAAAATAATGTAGGATAAAAATTCTTAAATAAAAAACAGGAAACACAGCAAGGTGCACAAACATAAAAGTTACTGGTAGCAGAAGGAAAAGTTAATTTCAGCCACAGAACAGGGCCACCATCCCTCAGAGGACAACACCCTTAATGTGTGTAACTCATCTCTTGGTTTATTCATTCATTCTTTCTTTTTCTTGAAAATTGGTCTATCTTGCCCAGGCTCAAAGTTCAAGAGTTACTAATGGGCCCTATCCTACTACTGATTGGCATGGCAACTCTGACCTGTTCGCCTCTGATAGTCCCCTGTTCCTGGGGGCTCACCATATTGATGCTGAACTTAGCATAGACACCTGATCCGCTTAGCTCATTGTGGCTCAGGGTTATTGAGTTCAAAAGGTCTTCCAGCCTCAGAGTCCCTACTAGCAGATATTACAGGCACATACCACCATACTTGGTCATTTATTCCTTTGAAAAGTTTTATCGGGTTCCTTTTTGCTTTCTTACACCACAATCTTACCTGAATACCTGTCCTTCTCTGTAACTACTAAGAAAAACTAGTCAATGAAACTGAAACAGCCACTGTACCTGATAGCACATACAACATTCTACACCCAAGGTCTCAAGCTTCTCTCCTGAGAGTATGAGGCTCTCTGGTACAGGGTGGGCTGTTTTTGGAGTTAGAAAGGGCAAGAGTTGGGAGCCCAGCTCTGCTACTCACTGTCTGCCCTGAGGCAAGTCACTTAATTTCTCTTGGGTGTTGGCCTTTTCAATTTGTCAAATAAGGCTGTTGGAGTAGATGGCCTCTAAGGTCCCTTCCAGATCTCATTTTATGATTCCATCTGTTTTACAGGACCGAGATTGGTAATGGTACTGAATCTGAGTTGAGCTGTCTTTTGGTGGTGTTTTCATTTACAAGCACAGTCATTGTGTATACTGTTTTCTTAGTTGTTGTGTTTCAGTTGTGTCTGACTCTTCATGACCCTATTTGGGGTTTTCTTGGCAAAGATACTGAAGTAGTTTGACATTTCCTTCTTTAGCTCAATTTAGAGATGAGGAAACTGAAGCAAACAGGGTTAAATGACTTGCCCAGGGTCAGACAGCTAGTAAGTGTCTGAGGTCAGATCTGAACTCAAGAAGATGAAGTCTTCCTCATATCCACTGCATTACCTAGCTGTCCCATCCTCTTGGTTATTCTGTTTTATATGCTCTGAATTTGTTGATACAAGTCTTCCTGTGTTTTCTGGATTCATTTTAGGGCCTTTTATTTTAGATGAGTATTTCCCAAAATAATTTGGTAACATACCACTTTGGGGCTTGAAATATCCCAACTAGACCCCATAAATGCTGATGTGGGGAAGCTGGGGTTATGGAATGCTCCAGAGATAAATGATGTCTTGGGTAGTTTTGTAACAAAATAGAGAAAATAAACCTATTTTAAACAAAAAACAATTAATGTGATATATTTTGATGTTTATGATTTAATTGTGTTTATGTTTGTGATTTAATATCATATTTAATATACGTCTCTGACACACTAGCTATGTGTCCCTGGGCAAGTAACTTAACCTTTCAGGGCTGTAGGCAACTGCACAGGATTAGCAACTAGGGAAAAAGCGCTGCCCTGAAGTAACAGAAGGAGTTTCTTCTTCCAGGATACTAATGAAATCCCAGCTGCAATCCCTATCCTGATTCTCTATGGAACTGTGTAGAATTCCTATTCAAATAATGTTTAGGAGTAGTTTAGGAAATGGTATTTTAGATACATTCTCTCCCCTTGGGGCTTTTAGGTACCTCCTAGAATCCTAAGATCATAGATTCAGAGATATAGAAGAGACTTTGGAGATCATTTAGTTCATCTACTTCATTTTACAAATGAGGAAACTGAGGCTCAGAGAGGCTAAGCAGAATATAAGCAAAGATCTTTCTTGATGCCAAATCCAGCCCTCTTGTATTTCTACTCAATATTCAACTGTTCTCCAAAACCTTTTCAGACTAGCCCCAATTAATTCTGTACATTATACTCACCAAACAGCTTTCACCCAAATCTCCAACCTTCTTACCTTCTGAGATACTCAACACTCCCTTGTGTGGGTTACAAATATTCACAGATGTGATTTTTGTCCTTTGGGATATTTCTTGCACACCCCCTTCCCTGATCACCCTCAACCCCCAAAAGAACATAATCTCAGGCATAGGGATGAAGATTTCTCTTCTATTGGTATCCCCAATATAAAAGCTCCCAAGTTTCTGACTATCTCAATAGTATGCAGTCTCTATTCAAGCCAACATCTCCATCTCCTTCCCCCTAGAACCTTGGACTCTACCTTTGGAACCACTCTGGGCTCTGACTGGCAAGCTTTCACCTTATCTTGCCTGTTTTGGGAATTCCACTTAAGTTCCTGGGTCTCTATCTCTATCTCAATTCATTCATTCCTTCACACATTCTTCCACAGTGAGAGACTCTGAAGATATGACAGCTGTGTGCCTCAGATGGAGAGTGGAGTCTGAGAGTTTGGACAATGGACAGTGTTTGGGTCAAGCAACTGAACAGATGTTAATCAAAGTGTTGATCAAATTTCCCAAATGGTAAATGGTCAAAGGAGATGAATAGGTAGATTTTAGAAGGAGAAACTCAAGCTTTCAACAGTCATATGAAAAGATGCACTAAATCACTCATAATTAGAGAAATGCAAATTAAAATAACTCTGAGGTACACCTCACACCTATTAGATTGGCAAAGTTGACAGAAAAGGAAAATTATTAAATTCTGGAGGGACTGTGGGAAAACTGGTACAATAATGCACTGTTGATAGAACTATGAACTGGTTAAGACATTCTGGAAATGATAGCTCAGAAGTTATATATTAAATGGGGCATATTTGACCCAGTGATACCACTACTCAGTCTTTACCCCCTAAAGAAATCAAAGAAAGAGGAAAAGGATCCACATGTACAAAAATATTTATAGCAGCTCTTTCTGTGTCGGCAAAGAATTGGAAACTGAGGGGGTTGCCCATCAATTGAGGAACAGATGATCAAATTATGGTATATGAATGTAATGGAATACTATTGTGCTGAAAGAAATAATGAAGGAGATGGTTTCAGGGAAACCTGAGAAGATTTGTATGAATAGATACAAAGTGAAATGAGCAGACCTAGAAGAACAATTTATATAACAGGAGTAATATAAAGACAAACAACTCTGGAAGACTTAGTAACTGATCAATATAATGACCAACCACAATTCTAGAGAGCTCATGATGAAGCATGTTACCCATATACAGATAGAGAAATGATGGACTCAAGAGTACAGATTTAGGCATCTTAGTGTTTGGACATAGGCTGTGGGAATTTGTTTTGCTTGACTATACATATTTGTAATGGGTTTTATTTTTCTTGGTTTTTCAATGGGGTTGGAGAAGGGAAAATGGGGGAGAAGAGAAAGAATTAGACTTGAAAATAAAATTGAATTAAAAAATCCCCAAAGTGTTGATCAAAGTGAGAAGACATGAAGACACACAGTAGTCTGTTGAAAACGAGTACACATGTGTTGTGTGTGTGTATGTGTGTGTGTGTGTGTGTGTGTGTGTGTGGTATTTGAGCGTAGATCCCTGGATAATTTTAAAGTGGGATAACTGGATAACAGATTTGGAGGTGGCTGGGACTCAGAGGTCATCTACATCAACCTCCTCCTTTTACAGATGGAGAAAATGAGGCTGAGAGAGACGTTTTGGGCATTCACATCCTGAGAACAAACCTTAAGCTAGGAAACGCGAGGAGTGGGAACACCCAGGCACTGCTTGGAGGCAGGCACATTCAGCCTGAGTGAATACTGGATTTTGTCCATGTGGGCATTCCTTTGTCCAATGCAGGTGACTACTCTTCAGTAGCTTACCAGATGGTTGCATGAGTCAATGTTGCTGAAAAAAATTCATCCACTGTTGACAGCCTTGTAAGTGATAGGTCCAGGTGTGTGGAGAGCCAATTATTACCATTTCAAATGAGCCTTTATAACTTGGAAATCAGCAACTGCTATAGATTAAGGCTTGTTTTATTGATTGTTAAGACTTAAGAAAGTGATGGAGAAAACGTTAACAATGTACATTAAAGTTAAAACCAGGTCATGTATTTTCAGAGAGCTGGTTGTGAAACATTTACCAGCACACCCCTAAGAGAGTCTCTCTAAACTTAGTGTGGGCTTTGTTGCTGCTCCTCTACCTGAAGCCTTTATAGCTTGATAGGCCTTGTTAGATATTGTGCTCAACTGACACTGAGAAGGCCAGGGCTACTTCCCCATCACAGTGAGGCAAGGAAGACATCAATGTAGGCAAAAGAAATAAATTTTAAAAAATTAGAGTAACACCTAAGAGTGTATAGTGTTACAGAGGCACAGGACCGAGCAGTGAGGCGGCACAGTGGAGAGGAACTTGGAGTCAGGAAAAACTGAGTTCAAATCCCATATCAGACCTAGCTGTATGAACATGGGCAAGTCCCATGGCCCCTCTGAGTTTCGCTTTCTCACCTCTAAAATGGGGATAATAATAGCACTTACCTAACAGAGTTGTTGTGAGAATCAAGTGAGATAATGTAATGTAAATCAAGTGCTATGTAAATTTTATTATTTATTATCCAATTTTAAGATACCCTTGATCTAGCCATTAATGACTGCCACAAGCTCCCTGGCTAAATAGCTCCCTCTCTCCTCTGCTTTAGCTGTCACTTGACCCTGCCATCTTGTTTGGCGAGGAAACCCCTAGAAGTACCAATGCTCAACTTTTGGTTCCTCAGGACATCCAAAAGG